GTACATAGGCTAAAACAAAACATCTAAAGATATAACCTTGCACTTTGATAAGTCTCGTGAACATTTTCACTATTTTGNGAGATGTCTCACTATGGGATGCACCTCAACGCGTATGCAAACAGAAGCATCAATCTCATTACGCCAATCCTGATTGGCTGGTGATCTTGACGTCTACGTGACGTAGACGTCAAGATCACCAGCCAATCAGGATTGGCGTAATGAGATTGATGCTTCTGTTTGCATACGCGTTGAGGTGCATCCCATAGTGAGACATCTCACTTCATGTTACTCTGAGAACTGGGGTTACGTAAGTAACCTATAGTTTCTACAGTAGCAGGAGAGTGAAATGGATGCAAAGAATCCAATGCCCCATCATAACCATGTTCATGGTTTATAAGTGCATTGTTCCTCTATTCATTGTTAATAACCACACAAACATTTATGTTGAATCTATTTTGAAATACACTGTAAAGTAACTGTCATGGTGTAATTATATTTTTGGCTGAGAAAGGTATGAGATGAGTGCTGCTCTGTGGGCCCTCTGGCTCTCAGTGTCTGCTACGAATTTGCTTGGAAGTTCAATTCTTCTTTTTGTCACTTTGTCAGTGTTGATGCATCAATGTTCCTCTGCGTGGGTACCTTAGGGGAAGGCGTCTTTAATAACAGATATAAACCTGGAAGTTAGTTAAGTTAATCACAAATGAGTGTTTTGAAACTCAAATTGTTAAATAAATTAAAAAATTGTGTCAGTCTGCACAAAAACGTACGAGCAATGAATACAATGTTTTGGATTTTTCTCCTAAACATAAAACTAGGAAATAGATATTTTCAAAGACTAAAAGGAAACGTGTCCTTAACATAATTCCCATTGTAGATGTTTTAAATTGTATCTTGTATTTCAATGGCCACGTTTTGATCTCAAGTTGTGTGCTTGTTTGAGACATTTATTTTCGTCTTTTACAAGCTGCTTTTTGTAATATATTTCTGAGTAGCAACATTTAGTCATTGACATTTATTTTAAATATGTTACATTTTAAACTTATGTTTAGTTATAATTTGTATTCCCTTGTAGTTTTCAACAAACAGAACCCAATATCTGGTTCAGCTCTTTGAGGATCAATTAAGGAACAAATGTTAACACTGTCTGTCGTCATAACTACACTGTAGCTATGTTCGTATGACCTCGATAAAAACCTTGAACCTTTCTGTCTCTCTCCAGGTCATCCTATCAGAGTTGTACTCTACAGGTTTCCAACGATCCTTTTCAGATGATGATGACATGACAGTAATTGCTGATAGCGACGTTATCTACGCCTTTCAGGCTCCGCCCCTCCATAGTCGAGGAGGCTCCACCCCACACTCAGGTAACCATGTCATAAGATCTCCACTGACGACACTCACTTCTGATGTTAAATATGTTCTTATTTATCATTCCCAATGTCCTGAGCCTTCAGCTGCCCTCATGATTTACTTTTATTCACACTAATTCACAGTTTTTCACTATACGTAAGTATTCTTTACAGATACTCTTTTTACTTTGCTGGGGAGTGGCCTGCAATGTGTTTTGTATTCCTCCTTCCATTAGGTTTTTTATGCATGAGAGCATCCAAACAAATTAAATTAAGGGTAACAGAATGCCAGCCTGGTGCATCACAACATCCTGACCTGAATACACTTCTGCAAGTAATTAATCTTTCTAAAACATTATGAAGTTTTCCGATTTGACAAGTAAAAACTATTTAGAAGATAACGCCGATTGTCAAAGGTAAAATTTTCTTTTTGTTTTGAATATTCTCAGTTGCTTGCTCCCCGGCTTTAATTGCATTCATGGGGGGAAACAGCAACAGAGTTGTGTGTCCCTAAACTAATAATTGAGAGCGATATGAGGTTGAGACAGCCTTGCAGCATCAATGGCCTTTAAAAACCATTTTCATCAATGCAAGGCATGCCGTATGCAATATTGACAGAGAAATTACAAACATACACCTCTTGCTACTTTATAAAGCAAGCTGGCTAACGCATCCCCTTTGAGATCTGCATTTCTCTCAGGAATGTGAACAGAAATGTTTGAAAATCAGTCAGAAAACCTTTAATTTATTTTATATACTGTATGTAGGATAAAGAAAAACTAGATAACAACTAGGTAACATGTGGCATCAGGGTTATGCAACAATACAATTAGAATATAAAGCATACAAGAATGTGTGTTGACCAGGCAGGCGTTAATATATTTTTTGATGAATTATGGGAAGGATCACGCAGAATCTGCTGCTTGGAGTTTGACCAGACTTTTTAAATGTGTTTCTCGTGGGTTCCCTAACTTTAGGAAAGTGTAACACGAAATATATGTAGTCGCCCTTTTAATGCGTGTCTTTTGAATACGTTTCACATATATTTCTTAGAATATTCCTTATCTTTGTCCAGGTTGGTAAAGGTTAGTAAATGTGATCATGGGCCATATCAACCCGACTGGCTTTTCCTTATTCTTTTATGCTTTGGAAGGTATTATTGCCTAAAGTAGCGCTTTGTATTTCTAAATAGTATACGTAAGTCTTGAAAATGTGTGTTTAACTTTAAAACACTGTGAACAACACCATTTTAACTAGAGTAATATTCTTAGTGTGAATCAGACAAGTAAACATTCACTTTCAACTTTCTTTTTTGGCATCCATTTACTGTGCAGCATCCAATAACATTCTATAGTGTTGGCCTCACGTTAGCGTCTTGGTTACTATGTATGATGTTAAACATGCGCATTGATTAAGTTATGAGATTTATGAGAAAAGTGATCTGGAAGGAAACTTCTAATGAAGTTAATGAAGCAGAGATGTCCTTCATCGTAACAGCAATGTGTTATTTTTCATCTCTAAGGCCGCCAGTGTGAACACTCTTTTATCTTGATAGCAATCCTTTACCCTCGCTCCTGTTCTTTGGCATTGTGTCCGAAACAGGGCTTTTAGATCTCTTTTTCACACATTAAGTACTTTAATCCTGTCTGAAAGGGACTTCATTAAGTCATATATCTGATCGTAATGTCAGTAATTGCCATTTCTGTGGGTTGCCAGTTAGAGGAGTTGTGTCTCGCCTTTGTCCATCAACGTACTGCTGAATGAAGTCTTAATGTTTTTTGTTCCCCCCCAAAGATGAATGACATGAATAATTGACTTACTGAAAGTGCTCATGAAAAATAAAGACTCTTCACTTTCTCCACAAGAGGCATCTCTATCGTCACTTCCCAAAGTAAACCAGAGTACTGAGACAGGCGGCAGGCAGCAGGCTCATCACACACACACACACACACACACACACACACACACACACACACACACACACACACACACACACACACACACACACACACACACACACACACACACACACACACACACACACACACACACACACACACACACAACCACACACACCCATCTGCAAGTCAAGTGGGTAATGAATCATTAGAAATACACTTCAGAGTCCTATAAATACATGACCATCAAGAGAAATCCTCACAAAGAGTACACACACAGCTACACATAGCCACACACACACACACACACACACACACACACACACACACACACACACACACACACACACACACACACACACACACACACACACACACACACACACACACGTGCACTTGTTTTAATGAATCACACTTAAGTGCTCATAAGTGAAATATGACTTCCATTCTTGTGAGCAATCTGGCGAAAATGATGAATGGCCCTTACCTCGATCACAGCGGACCAGATTGCAGGATATAAAACGTTTATTCAATGAGATTTATGTCATGTATTATAAAATGTAACATGGTCAATTTCCACAATCATTATGGCTCAGAGCGCAGCATTGCATCGTCGAAATAAAAGATGATGGACAGCAGACACAGATTCACACGGAAAGTTTCTAGATTTCACAATGCAATGTTATGGTCTAAATCACAATGGGAAAGTACTTTTCTCTTATCTTAAAATGATCTTGTTTTGATTTATTTTTATTTTACTGTTATGTTTTAATGATATACACTTAATAAAAGTTGTTTTCTAAAATTATCAAATTTAAATCCAGATAAATATATTTTCAACTAAATTTAAAGAAGAATTAAAACCTTTTTATCGTTTGACTCTGCCAACAGTTTATATCCATGTGGATCCAAAAAGTCACAATAAGCGCATTCATTCTTAAAGTGTGCATGTTTTTGAAAGTCACAGTGACCCCCAAATCATAATCACTTCATGCTTTTTGTCCCAGTAAACACTTTTGCCAATTTTGAAGTAATTTCCTATCGATATCCCTGAGATATTGCATTCAGGAGAATGGGAGAGACGCATAGACAACCCAAAAACAAAATGGCCGCGACCACGGCTGGCATGAAGTCAAAAAAGTATAGACAAAAAGAAGCACCCATATAAATTAGAAGCAGTAGCAGTGTTACTATGGTGACTGAGATTATGTAAAACCATGATTACTCTGGGATTAAGGAGACCTCACTTTGTCAGTTCAGTGCATTCACCCTGCTGTAAGTATTTTATACAGTAGAGTACGCAATGATAGACAAGCCAGATCAATGGTTTGTAGATTGTGGTGACTGGTTGTTTGACTGGTCCTCCTCACGTATGTCAGGTAGTGCAGAGGTCACTTCCTCAGACTAAACAACCCTTCAGCTACAGTACTGCTGCTGTCCATCACTCAAGTTTGTTTTTGCAGCCTCTTTGAAAAAAGTAAAGTCTCCTGCTGCCATGATGGATGACTGTATGGAAAGCCTGTAGAACCAACAATAAAATGAAAAACACCACTTTTCAGAAGAGGTCTAATTTATAGTGTTACTAAATGTGAGTGTCTTTGCATACTCATGTGTAGGTGATCTATGTATGAAGATATATTCATACATTTGATTTTTGTGCTTTCAAAAACCTTTAATGACAGGGATCATTTAACCTGAACTGGCTTTATTACACTGGCAAAGGCATAATAGATTTCTATCTTTATCAAACTCAGCTTCAGTGATGAATTGTCAGTTTATGTATCTGGAACGTGATGTACAGTCTCATCCTCACTTTTAATTGTGCAGCATTTCAAAACAAAGACTAACATGGAGGGACTGAAGCACTTAGATGTATATATGGATGCGACTATCATTAATCTGTGATCTATTCTCTCGCAGCTATAAAAAACAGATCAATAGAAATTGAGGTCAAGCCTGAAATCCACAAAACTCTAGTTTTAGAAATGTTGTAGAAAAATGATTAGTATTATTTTCTTTTTTAATCTGTTTACAGTGATAGATGTTGAGATAGGACTTCAATTGTGTTTGCTTCTCCTATTGCTTTAATTACATCTAAATGGTAACCCTTTGATCATATTGCATAACATGAAACATACACCACGTACATATTGATGGAGGTTTAATTTGTGATATTCAGATCTGAAATTACCTTGAGATTATTCTCAGGTAATGATTTGTTTTCCCAAATTATACAGAAATCAAGTCATGAAAAATGTGATTTGGGTGAAAGTTATATTTTGTCACAGAGAACAAACCTTTTACCAAAAAAACTAATCATGAAACCAACAGCTCAACAGCCCACTACGTACCTTACTTCATTTACTGCCTTTTTATTATTCTGTTGAGCTGCTGAAATTCTTTATATATTAGTTTTCTTCCGCGGAATCACAGAGCTCATACAGCTATATTAAATAAATCATAGTATACAGAGTCCACAGAGACTACTGTAGTTATTTTTGCCATGATAAAAGAGGGCAGGAATGAAAAATGAATATTTACATTAAAGTACAATTATTTGAAGTATTATTTAAAAGAAATAAAACTATGTTTTGTTTTCTATGCTTGCTTAAAAGTAGCCACATATAGTTTGCATTTTATCAACAATTTAACTGTATACTCTTACTGTATAACTCTTTAAACACTGCCAGGGCCGGTACCTTGTTCCCTTCAGTGTTCACTTCCTGTCTGTCTTCCCTTGTCTTTTTCATCCAGCTCTCTGTGTCTTAAACCTCTTCCCTTCTCTTGCCCTGTTTTCTTGTTCTTGATCTCTTTATATTTTCTTTTCCAGTGACAATTTAGCAATTATGAATCACAAGTTTAGTGCTCCTTACAAATATAGAAATGTATGTTCCAAAGGGACAACCTTAAATTGACTGGTCTTCCTTCTTTGGATTGATATGAATGCATATGGTCCCTTGATCAGAGCATCCTTAGAAATGGTATGCTATGGAAAATAATGTATCAATCATAATTGAGTATTCAACTAAGCCATGTATTATTTATAGTTATTGTCCTCTATTACTGTAATCAATTATCCAAACAGTGTTGTAGGAGTCTGATTTTTATGTAATTTTC